TGGAAGAAGGGCGAGCAGAACGGGCAAGAGGAGAAGTGGTGCGAGAAGGCGGTCAAGAGTTTGGTCAAGAAGCTCAAGAAGACGGGGCAGCTGGACGAGCTGGAGAAGGCCATCACCACGCAGAACGTCAACACCAAGTGCATCACCATCCCCAGGTGGGGGCCCGAGGGGCCCTGGGGCGGGACCTGGCGTGGCGGGGCCGGCCTGGCGGGGTTGGAGCGGGAGGGCTAGCGTGCGTGCGCCTGTGTGTGTCTGTGAGTGTGCATGTAACGGGGGGTGGGAACGCAGGCAGGAAGGGGTGGGGGGACCCCAAACAAAACCTTCTCTGGATTTGCAAAGATCCAGAGCCTGGGGCTTCCACGCGGCACTCGCGCTCCCAGACCTCGCATTCGCTTTTCCCCTCCAGGAAAGGGGGTGCTGCAGGAATCGGTCGCCCCCCCACCCCGGGGAGCTGCGGGCTAGAACTTGAGGCCCGCTTTGTTCAGCTCCGCGGGCCGCAGCCCCTCCTCCGCCGCCGCCTCCCGCCCCCGCGGCCCGCGCTCGTGGAGGTGGTGGTGTCTCTCCCTTTCTTTTCTTCGTGCCTGTCCCCCCACTTCTTTCCTCCTCGACAGGAATGCAGTCCGTACAGCTGGGGCTGTGGGTGAGGAGCGGGAGCCTCGTGATTGACAGATTCCTTCTTCCTTCTCTCTTTGCCTTCGGGATTAGCATTTTTATCGAGTATTTTTAGATTCGGTTGTGCCAGTCTCCCGCCCCCTCCGCGCACACACACTTTAGTTGCAGTGCAATGCTCTGACTTCTAAATGAGAGATAAGTGGCAGAGAATAGGGTCTTCTGCCCAACCTCCGCCACCCCCCTCCCCGGTTTTTGCTCTCCTTTCAGTCTGAGATTGCTACTGGATGCAGACCGGAGGGGGGCTTAGAGCTGAGGAGATAACAAAACGCACCCCAAAGTGGGCCTCGCATCGGCCTTCGCATTCCTACAGAGCCCTCCTTCCCAAAGCGCTTTGCCATCTGTCTGGACCTCCTTTATCCTACACTTCGCGCTAGCTAGGTCAGGCGGGAGCTCACAGATGGCTGATAGAAGGGGTCAGTGACTTGTCTCCACTCCCCAGGGCCTTCTCTTAGCTTAGCTGCTGCCTGGCTGGGAATTGGGGTATGGGGGGGTGCACCTTAGCCTCCTGTCTCTCCCTCTCAGCTCCTTTTAAAAGTCTGATTCTGCACCGAGGGGGAGTTAGTGTGTACGTGTCCTTGGAGTCCCAAGCTGCAGAGGAATGAGTAGAGGGTCCCCAGGGCCTGAGCCCTGGAGGAATTGTCATCCTTGCTGCTGGGCCAGGAGTGAACTCCGTCCCTGGCCACCTGCTTGGGGCAGCTGTACAAGAGCTGCCAGCCGTGTCAGGCAGGCACAAAGCAACATCTGTCCACGGGAACCCAGGGCAGGCCTCCTCTGGAAATTAATGCCACATATGGTGGGAGTGCTGACTTGAAAAATAATAATTTTTTTCAAAACTGGGTGGATCCAGTCAATAAAGGGGGAGGGAAGGCGGTGTGCTGTCTGGGAAGTGAGTTCTGGGTGTGTGATCGGGAGCCAGAATTGACTTCAGAGGAGATGGTGTGATGTGATGGTCAGCGAGCCCTAGGTCCTGGTCCCAGCCCTGGCTTTTTAATTCTTCATTATTCCTTTGGGTGGAGGGTGGGTGAATGGAGGTCATACTTCTCCTGCCTGGGGAGGGGTTTGCAAAACCTGCCTTCTTACCGGCCTGGGTGCTGTTGAGGACAAGCGCTTTAAACCTTGAAACAGAAAAAAAAAATTGGTTATCAATTATACAACGAGCAGCTGCATACAGTGTTTACAAAGAACTTCCACATGGTTTTATGAGATCCGGAAAAAGAAACTCCTGGAAAATAGATAAGGCCAGTAGGCCTAAGATTTATCTGATTTTGAAGGTTGAGAACGCTTTGGAGGAGAGAGGTGGAAAGGCTTGGCATAAAAAACATGGGATCCGAACCCAGCATGCTCCTGACTTTGAAGGTTCTGAACACAGTCTTTGCTGACCCCCCTGGATGGGCCTAATGGATATCTGTTGGCAAGATTGTCAGTGTTGAACTCTGGGCTGGTGACAGGCTGGAGGAGAGGCCTGGTTCTTGCTCGCCTTGGTGGGAGTTTGCCCTCTGGGGAAGCAGAGTTATGGCCTGCCTTTTCCTCTTCCAAAGTCCTCCACTGCCTGAGTTAACTTGGCCTTCTCATGACTGTTAGGACCGAGCCATCTTCTACCTGCCTGGCAAGGACCTAATGCTACGGCAGATTTTTTTCCGTCTTTTTCAGTTAGGGAAACCCAGTCACTTGGGTGGATCCAGACAAAGTGGATTTCCATCCCTGGATTTTGTGCCCACGCCTCTGGGTCACCTTGTCTCCCCTGGCAACAGCTACTGCTGTTTTGGTCGTGGGCAGAAAACTAAGGGCCACGTCTTGGGGAGGTGGCTAGCTGGCTTCACACTGGTGATATTGGGGTGTCTCTGAGCCCCCACCTGTTGTGGGGTTGCCGGTCAAATTGTCTGCTCTCTCCTCACTGCCTTTGATAACTATGCATTTGCCACTGAGAGGCAGGGGAGGTGCGTGCGTGTTCGTGATAAGGAGCCAGGCACCTTTGAAAATGACTGTCCTGATGGACACCAATAACTTGGGTTTCCACCAGTGGGATCCATGCCTTGGCGCAATTGTTGAAGGGCTGGTTTATTTGGAAGGGAATTTGGGCTTTCTTGTGTCAGAGCACCACGTCCAGAGGAAAATGGGGAATTGAACCAAACACCAGGGTCTGACACACACCATCTCCTCCCTTTCTGTGCATCTTCTTTGGGCACGGCCTCCTCCTTTCATCTGCCTGGACTTTGCCAGGCTGCTCTCACCCTGCGGAGAAAGGAGAAAGATCCTCATCTCTAACACGCCTTTCTCAGACTTCTGGGGACAGCCCAAGGGTGCAGGAGTGGCCTCTTCAATACCCTCTCCATCTCAGCATCCCCTGCCCCCTCTTCTCTCTCAGCTGCAACTCAGAGCACCGTTCTTATGTGGCCCATGGGAAGCAAGCTTACTGTGTCTGCTGCAGGCGTGGCCCATCCTCTCCTTTCAGTTGTTAACCTTGATGATCAGGGGAGTTCTGCCCGAGGGTGGGAAGAGGAGGGGGCCTGCTGGACAACGGGGCTGGCTCAGAGCTCTGGCCTAACCTAGGAGCCACTTGACGTTCCCTTGACATTCGGAACCTTGGAACTTGCTGCTTGTCCCCAGGAGTTCAGCATTTGGACCAGTGCATGTGGCAGACAGCCCTTTGCTCACAGTTCCTAATCGCATGATACAGGGTTGGATTTTGTGGCTTCTTTGATACTTATTGGCCCCTCCCATGTCTGAGTCAGTATCCAGGCAGTGGGGGTGGATGCAGAGATAAAAGTGAGGTGGCCCCTGTCTGTGGGAGCTTCCATTTCAATAAAGGAGACATCAGTAGGGCATTAGTTGAGCGTCTGTTTCTTATTCTCATCAGAAGAAATAGGAGCTCTGGTGTGGAGTAATGTATTTTTGGAGGGTGGGGGTGGATTACGATGTGTTTTTTAAATAGTGTAGAAGTCACTTTGTTAGACAACAAAATAATGCCAGCCATCTGGTTTCTCTAGAAAAAGCACAGAATCCAGGTCCTGTATCTTGCTGTTATAACACCTGGTTTGATGTAGCGGTTCACTTAATGTCTTAGAGGTTTTGTGTTGATACCTGTAAAAGCTGGATGAGGTAAAGCCTGTGGAAGTGTTTGGTAAAACAGAGTTTGACGGACGAGTTACGTTTAGCTGTCTATGTGTAGCACCCGTTTGCTACTGAACTATCCCATCACTTAATTAAATACCTGCTGTGATGTGCGTGGCAAGGCGCCTGTTCACAAGGGGCTCCCTGTCTAGAGTGGGAGACAGACTTGCCCAAAATTTCGGCCAAGGGCTGTACAAAATGCGCAGGGATGCAGGGGGACCATTAATTCTGGGGGAGGAGGTGGGGGAAGAAGAGAGGGGTCAGTGTGAGGTAGAAAACCAGAAGGGGGACAGGAGTTATTATCCGAAGGAAGTTTCTGGAAGGCCGTACGATCGTGCGAACTTGTGGCTTCACCGTGACAGTTGCCTACAGGAATGAGGACGGCTTTATCTTCCTTCTTCCTAAACAGAGCACTGCTATGAATATGTTACCTCATAATTTGCACCCAAGGCTAGTGACTTCTGTTCAGTATTTTACTCCACTGCAAAGTGGTCTCTCTTTGAAGTAGAAAGTAATTAGTATTGCAAACCTGAAATTCAGGTTTTCTTGGTGGGAACAGTGACTTTACATATATTAGCTCAGAGTCTAACAGCGTCAGTGAGAAAGTGGGCACCTTGAAGGTGATTGTGGATGCTTAGAATTTCAGAGGTTTGCTGTGACCCAGCTTTTCCCTTCTCTGGTTAACACTTGCTGAACATAAGCCTGAGTTTCTACATGGACCTAAGAGCTTTGAATAATCTATTTTAAAACGCCTTCACAAGGATGTAAAGTTTTAAATGACAATTCTGCATATCTGAAATATGCATAGTTTACTGTCCCGGAATTATATCATAATAAAGTTGTTTAAAAAAAATAAATGACAATTCTAACAATAGAAAAAAGTCAGTAAACACAGTCATTTAGTTCTGATGAGAAATGCAGGCAGTTGATAATGGAGAGAATTTGGCTCAAGCTTAATCCCATCAGGAATCCAATTAAAATGAGTTTTTGAAAAATAAATATTGGTTCAATAATGTAAATTTGTAATTGCTGCATTATTGTAATGGAAATAAAATTAACACGATTTAATGGACTGAGCGACCATTAATTTCCACTTGTTAACTTATTGGGAGATTTTTAAATGCCATTGGATGCACAGTACAGCCGCGTCGGTGTATGAGCTCTTTTATGAAATAGGACTAAGCTGTACCTGCTTTAAAACTTGCAGTCCGACTTTATTCCCGTTGCCCAGTCTCCCACCTTGCTCCACCGCTCCCGGAGCCTCCTATAAATGCAGTTAAGTTCTCTAAAGTGGAATGCAGCTTTCTCAATCAACGGGCCTTAGGAACAATACTGATTAACTTTTGTCCTGATCTCCTTTGATGTAGTGACT